TCCTCCTCCTCCTCCTCCTCCCCGCCGGTGCTTCCCGGGCTGGTCCTGCTGCAATTTCCGCTTCTCCCGAGCTCCCACTTCCTCTTCCCGCCCGCCGGGGCGGCTCCAGGTGGGAGAGGGACCCGCCCCGCCGGGCGCTGCGGGGCCGGGGTCCGTCCGTCCGTCCGTCCGTCCGTCCGTCCCCGGTCCCTGGGTTCCCCGCGGCGGGCAAGGCCGCTCGGCCGCCGGGGAGGGCTGCGGGCACAGCGGGGGGGGAGCGGGACGATCGACACGCAGCGTTGCTCCGAGGCGTTTAAACAGAAAAAAAAAAACCAAAAAAGAATGTATTTTTCAATCCATACTGCCGCTGGTCCTTTCCCTGTTTCTTAAAAGCGCTGGGGAGGAGTAGATGACGGAGCGCTACCCCTTCGGAAATGCACTGTCAGGAGTTTAAAAATGGCTATGGCAGAATTTTCAAAATTTATTATTTTATTTTTTACATCTTAATACTCACTTTTGCACCGTCACGTTTTGGAAATTGCGACTACCGTCGTCTTGAGGGGGTTTCCTTCGCTTGTGGGCAAAAAGGTTCGCATGTGAGTGTTCACTGGGTATCTGAATTAAACAGATGCCAGAAGGAAAATAACTGGGTTTTGAAACGCTGCCTTAATACTTTAGGAGGTATTTGTTTGCCCACTGTTACTGCGTATCTTTTGGAGGAGGGGAAACACTCCAAGGAATGACAGCTCTAGCAAAAAATATTACAAATAAATACACAAATTCAATCTGTAATAAATGGCAAGATAAAAAAATCCAGGTGAACCAGTTTCACAAGCTTTGGGGAGAGGAACATGACTCAGTCCCAGTCTCAGTGGGTCAGCTACCTCCAGTCACCTAAAGCCAACCACAGTCACTTCACAGTGTAAATAGGCTCAATTATTTTCTTCCTGTATTAAGCGTAAGGCAATTTACCCTATAAACCAAACACAGCATATTTTAAAAATTGGGCTAAACTCACTCTTAAAAAGATGTCTGCTAGAGAAGAAAGCAGGCTCAGAGAACCTTGATCCTTTCGGCATTCCTCCTAGCTCAGCTGCTGTGCCCTTCGGCACATTTACAGGTAGGAATGCCAACCATATTTACGTATCACTTTTCATCCATCCATTCCTACGTGCCATATAAAACCACAAGGTGCTGCTACCTAAATTAGACTGCAATTTTTTTTTTCCAAAAACTACTATTCAAAAAAATGAAATTAATAAAATTTAGAATAACTTCGAGTTTAAGCAGTGCACCAAAACTGCAACCCTGAAAATCGAATTATCAAGATGTGAAAACACTTTCCTTTTAAAGGCAAAGTAACTCTTTAATTCCAACAAAAATATCACCCCTCAAACATTATGTTGTGTCAATTTTTATTTACCTGAATATTAATTTAGCTGCCCCTCCCTCCCAATCTTTAGTGTACCCAGTTCCAAGCATAACTTCCGCTTTGAACTACTTCACATGTGCTCTGCTCTGAGTTTTGGCATGATAAATCACTACTGTCCATAAGACAGTGCAAAAGCAACTTCTCATCTTTTAATTTACAGAGATGAAGTAAGTTACAACATCTGTTTTGAGATTCCCTGCCCTCTAAACATGCAAAATTGCAAGTTTAAAGTTCTCTCAGATAATTCTACCATCTCCTTACTGCAGATAAAACACAGACTTTAATTTTTATAGCACTCTTTCCAACTAAAGCCTTTAAAGACATTTGGCAATTTACAAAAAGTTGTATTTAACCAAGATTTATTTAAAGATTACAGTAACATACCCATATGCCTTTTACACATGCACTTGCATGTTTTTCTTTCTGCGGGGGGTTTATTAAAATTGAGTGAGAAGTGTTTTTCTCTATTTCTCTGAGATAGCTTTGCTGTATAATTCCAAAGGAAGTCAACACACAGTTTTGCCAGTTCGTGAAAGCTTTTTCTATTTCACTCATTTATTCTAGCTCTCATGTCAATTCCATTGTTCCATAACAGTTAAGGTTTTACAGCCTTAAAATAATAAACGTATTTTATTTTCACATTTTACAAGTCTATTCCGCGTTGTTTTCACTTTTGAGAAGCAACAATACATGACTTTGAACACCTACTATCACATCAGTGACCAGAAACGTCTATGCAATTTTCTTCTAAACAGTGAAGTTTAGCTGAACAGTGAGTCAGGATCTCCTTCTGCAGTTTCATTTTCGCTTTTTCTAGAAAGATAGATTCTCTGAAAATATAAGAGACTGCAAATGATCAGATAGCAACTCATATAGACAAGCTAGACAAAGAGATGCATTATTGAACAATGTTTAAAGCATCAATCACAATATTTCTCCATTCCATGCATTCCACATCCTGCTGTTGATCTAGAGGACATGATGAAATATGCTTCACTACTGCTTCAATTATTCTGTAACTTTTTCCTTCTGTCTTCTCTTCTACACAAGAAATGGGTTACAAATATATTAAAATTGACATAAACAGCCCTATTGTGACCCAATTTTGTATTGGTTCCCTCGACTCCCACATTTCTCCCCAAATACCACTACGGTCATAATCTCATTTTATTAACAAAGCAACTGTTGCTGCTATATAGAACAGCACTTCAATCTTCATCACATGGACCAGAATACACTGAAGTTGTGTGATAGCTTTTGTTACTATTTTTATAAGTAAATCATAGCTCTAACTATGAGCAGAAGTAGGCAATAAAGCAGTTTTCTTCGGAAAACTGGTTTTCAAAAACTGATTAACGCATGTGAACTTGAACTATTCCAAAGAAAATGTCACATCTAACGGAACATTTTTCTACTGGAGAAAAGTCATCATTTGAAACAAGGTCTACAGGGCAGCAAACAATCATTAAGATGCTTTATTGACAATATCCACTCACTGCAAAAGTATCTGCCTGCATACAATTAGATCTTAGCTTTTCAATAGTGTTTTATTGGCAGTGGAAAATGCATCAGTACTTTATTGAAAGAAAGCAATAAATAATACTGTGATAAAAATAGTTCAAAAGTAGACTGTACATATTGTTACATAATCTGAAAATACACAAAAGATTAATAGAAAAACAGAACAGTAACAATGAATTTCAGTTTTACAAGCAAGTTAAAAGTGGAAAACAAAATAAGAAAAAAGACATGCTATATATATTGTTGCATAATAAATAATGCACCATCTGAACAGATCCTTGCTGGCTTTTTAATATGCCATTTACAAGTGTTGGATACATTTGCTACTCATACAGTCCAAAATGGCTACAACCATCAAAATTAAAGTCCAGACAACTCTTTAGAACAAGTTTACAAAACACAAAAGATGACTTACATAAGAAAAGTAAGGCCTTTATTAGAAGTTGCACTGCTTTAGTTTTCAGCCCATTGTACCTTCATCTTTCACTACTCATTTGACATGAGACTGCAGTGCTTCATGATTGGTCCATTAAAACTAGTTTCACCAGCATCTTTCCACAAGTGTTTTCAATCAAAAAGATCTAGGACAAAAACTCTCTGTGGCCTGTGGACTATCACCAGGAATTATTATGAAGTCTATCTTCCTCAGTTAAGGAAAAAAACAAACAAACAAAAAAACACCCAAAAAACAACCGGGTCTTGGTTTATGGCTTGTTTTCAGTCACTGTGAAGATACACTATACAAATACAGCAGAGAGTGTTATGACCGAGTCAATCACTTCTAAAACGTGTTCCGTAGTGTTATAGTTCCTCTCAGCTTTTAAAACAAGTTATATTTTAAATAAAGACAAATTCCCACTACTTGAGAAATCCTCTTTGTGGAAAGGTACAGTTCTGAAAAGAAGAACAATCATGTACCATACCTTCTACAACAACATATGTTTAACCTGAAAAAAAGTTGGACTTGTTTTCAGATCTAAGCTAACATTTTCAAAAGACAAAATATATACTGCTTGGTGTCATGATACTTTTACAAAGGTATTAAAATCCTTTTCACCTTCAGTTTCATTATTAAAAAACAATGATAATTACAGTAACTGCATAATTTACAAAACCCCTATATTACTTATAGGGACATATACATACAAGCATTACAGTACATTCAGTTGGAAAGACTAAAATTAGAATAAAAATCAGCAATGATTTGATTTGTAGACTGAATAGAAACAGAAAAAGTAAGTAACTATATAAATGAGAAGTCACATAAATATAAGAAACATTTAGATTCTAAAATATTTTCTCTATAGTACTCATGAATTTATTTGCTAATTAAAAACTCTGTAATAAAATATCTCAAAGTGTCCATTTAACAAGTATTAACAGGTTAAGGGTTCCAAATGTTCAAAATGCTGCATATCACCGGTAGAAATAGTGTGGGTAAACTGTAAAAACAACAAAACAAAAAACACACAAAAAGAAAAAACAAAATCCATTAGCAGTTTTTTTAAAAACATTTCATTCTAAGTTTCTCACAAACAGCTCAGTAGTGTAGCAGTCATGCATTGAATTATTGCCATGCCATGACGTATACAATTTCATTGCCTTCTGTAATCTTCAGTTGCAACACAAAGTAAAGCACATGAGGTCAAATATTTCTACTTCGAAGATTTTTATCCTAGGTCATCTGACTGTAGAAAATCCTGGACCGGTGGGGGAGGGCAAGACTTACAACTCCAACATCTTGAAACTAAAAAGATTTTAAGATAGCCCTGAGATTATGAACTGACAGATCCACCTGATCCAAGTTGCTACGTGCAAGAATTTCCCTTCTCAACATTTCATACGTAAGAACTCTTTGGAACTAAACTTGTATATGCAAAAAGGTTCAGTATTTGAAGAAAAGGCAGCCAATATTACAGCCAATCCCTACGAGGTAGGGATGTTACTGGTAAGAAGGGAAAGAAGCTGTAAGCAGAAGAAACAGGCAATTTATAGCCCATAGAAGATACCAGCTAGCGACAAAAAGATTCACTGGATTTTTTTTTTTTTAAATGCAATAAAGTAAAAAAAAAAAAAAAAATCTAGTTTCCAGACTTGTTTGCAAAATGAGAAATACTGTTCCACGAGAAATTACACCAGAGGCTGCTGAAGAAAAATCATTCATAAGCCAGAATACATGTATTTTGTGCTAAACACCCTTGAGTTATCAAGCTGCCTTATTGTCAGCACTGCTCACAGCTACTCAAATTTAGGCTGCAGGTAGCTAAATCCAACCAGACAGCCTAAGCAATCACAGTGGCATGAAGTATCCAAGAATTGGAGAACTATGCCATTACCCCTATAACAATTCAATATTGAAGTACATTGTAGTGGGATAACTTTGACCAAGCAAAGGCTCTGAAAGATCAATAATCTGAACTGCAGTGTCACACACTCAATTATTTTTTCCTTTACATGCCTAATTTAGTTCCCTTCCCTCCTCCCCACTTTCACTAGCTGTTTCAGCCAACCTTTGATTTCAACACTTTCTACATAGCTATGTAGCATGGGTCCTTTTTGAGGCTGTTTAAAAACAAACCCTCAAAAGAATACAATCTTTACAAAAGTAAATATTTAAAACACTCAGTCTTCATTGTAGGAAATAATCTCCAGATTTTCAATATAACAATCTGCCCTGAAAACTTGAAACAGTTTCATAACTGTGTAAATTCACTGTATTAAAATACCTGACATTTTATTTCATAAATAGCTGCTTTACTATTATACCTATCAACTTTACTCACCAGGAGAAGGCTTTAACAGGAGTAGGTCCTTACTGTAGCAGAATCCAATCTTTGTGTTCCTGATACACTGCCTATTTCAAGAAGCATGGGAAGACATGCAGAACACAGCATGCATGTTAGTTTAAAAAAAAAAAAAAATCACAGCAATGTGATTACAGCTACTGTACTCACCCAACTCTAAGGCTACAAGTTAGAAAAGCAGAATTTATTTTACAGTTTATATATTAACCACTTCCAGTTTCAGTGGCTAACAAAAAGAATTCTAAGAAAATCTGCATGCCAACTAGGACACAGAAATTGGCAAACGTAGTTTTATAAGTAATTTGTTTTCCATTTTATATAGTGTATATATTTTTCTGGTTTTTTATATCATGAAATGAAAGGGGTTCCTACATGGTAAAGACTTCACTTATTTTAACTTACAGAATTTAGCACAAAATATTTTCCAGAATTCACGTGGAAGTGACAATACTTAAAATTTAAAACAGCTCACATTTTAGAGAGTAACATCAGATGCAAAGGTCGTTTCTTTGAGCTTTATTCATAAATATAATTTTCAGAACCTGAGACAACTCTGACAGATTAGGCGGAAGTTGCTCATCCTGTCTGTTCCAATTAAATACTTTTTCCATTTATTTTTACTTGCGTTTTGTAAAACAAATTCAAGTGAAAATTTATTCTCATGGTACTAAAAAGACTGTTTTTAAGCAGACAAGATACCTCATGTAACAGGTGATCAACCTCCACTTCCAGGTGGGGTGTTTGGTGGTTTTTTTTTTTAATACATGTCTCTGTGTGTGTGCACGTGCACACGTATACATATAGATCGTTAAGTACACAGCCATAACTGAAGTAGTGATTTCAAGTACGATCAATACTTAAATGACCACTGCAGGGGCAGTAATGCACCTTTTACTCAAGTTTTAATAATCTCAAAATTATCCGACAGAGTTTACTCACATAATTTTTGAATGTATTTTACTGCATTTCAGAAGTGGGACTTACATTGGTCTAATTGCTGCTAATTAGAAATTATGCATCACATGATTAGAAGACTTCTACTAAAATGTAATTTTATTTTCCTAGTTTAACATAAATTTATCTCTAACTATAATTCTCATTTTGTTATTCCAGTGAAGTAAAAAGAAACTCCACATCTATTACAGCTTCCTGAAATTATAAAGCACTCTATGGTTAAACACAGTGTTATATATACAACCATGCACAAGGCAGATGCTTTTATGCAGCAAAAAAGGTAATTTGAACTTAATTCCCCCGTAATTTCAAGCAAAAAAGTGCATCATGCTTAAAATAATACAAAATCAATACCATCAATCTGCATCTTCTTTGGCTGCATAGAGGGTGAAGACATTGAGGTTGTAACTCTGAAATTTGCAGGAAGAGTCTCTGCTGATCCAGCAGCTAAACCTCTTATGTCCTTTGGTCTAAACTTCTTTCTCCATGAAGGTGCTCTCCTAAAGCTCTTATCATCATCCTGTTATATTGATAAACATCATTAGCAATTCAAAAAATGTAGGATTGTTACTGACATTAAAAGGATTACTGACATTCTTAAGTAAATGTATCACCGCTGAAATGAGTTGATTTTCAGAATGGCTCAGGTGCAACAGCAGCAGAGGTCTTCATTTGCAACAATCTGTGTTCACCTGCTAGAGTGTAGGCTCTTCAGCTCAGTAACTATGGAAATTCACATGCTTGGCACATTTAGAAAAATGTTTGTACTTCAAATGTTTGTACTTTATGATTTGCAGTAATTCGTAAGTGTCACATCACTCATTCTTAGGGGATATGTAGAGTGGAGCAGATCATAAAAGCTGCTTTGGGAACACTGACATATAGAGGCTTAGTTCGAACAATTGCTTTTAACCTTCAATTCTGTCTTACAGGAATGATGATACAGCTATTGTGCCTTCTCATCCTACAAATTACAGGAAGTGACAGTGAGGAAAAAAAGTGTATTAAAAACTATATTGCTGTGCAGTGTTTTGCTTAAGCACTTAGGTAAACTTAACTTGTAATTACCCAGGTGCATTTTCCCCCCATTAATGCATCTGCATCTTTGAAGTAATATTCCACTTCAAAAATACAATAGTTTAAGTCCCACTTCCAAAAATGTCTTTTGCAGTGAAGGTATTGTGTCAATGCAAATACACCCATAGTGCATCTCCATTTGCCAACCTCGCCTTTAGAAACAGTTTGATCCTTTGAATGCCATTTTACCTAAAATTTATCCCCTTTTAGAATTAGAAGACAAGTATCCTCATTGTTTGAAGAGATCTTTGTGATCAAACTGCCCTGTGCTGCTAGAACACAGCAAACATCTGTTCCCTCAAAACTCCTTCTCTTGCAGTTTGAAATCCCTAAGGAAAAATACCTTGGAAAACTATCAAGCTGCTTTCTGATGATGTTATTAAAACCTTAGTAGGGATGCATACTGAGAACAGAGCTGTCAGGATGTGCCACAGAAGGGATGAAACAAGTCCATTAGGCAAAAGATGAACAAAAAAAAAAAACAATCAAGGTTTGTCATAGCAGCCTCCTGCTTCAGCATACTGGTATATGCTTCACCTCACTGATCCAAAAGCCGTTTTAAGTCAGCACTTTCACACTTCCCCTGCGCTCTTCCTCACACCAACTTAAATTACAGCAACTTAAAAGGTTAAAGATGTAACACTCTCTCCTTTATACTACAGGTTCACAGGGACTACAGAAGTCTCACACCTAGTTTGTTGGTTTTCTACTCATTACATTTGAATGACTCATTACTGCAAGATCACAGACTGCCCAATAGAAATTACTCTGATGTGCAAACATACCTGATGGTCATCTATACCAGGATCAACAGGTATCAACAACAGATATTAACACCACAAGCTTTCTTGAAAGACACTCGAAATTATTTGAAATACTGCTCGTTAGGACGAAGTTTTGAAGCATGGTATACAGTGTCTTTATTATAGCTTGTTCATCTGCAACACTGGTCACTAATTTTCCCACATTTTGGATAGAAGATTCAGCCCAAAGTGTTGCTATTAGATCTTAACCGTCCAAGCTACAGAAAACAAACTTGCAAATCATCTCAATACTTTCACATTCAACGTTATCTTACCTAAATACACAGAAATTGCCATATTCAAAAACTTTCCAAGACAAAGAATTTCAAGTTAAGGTTTCTGCCGCTATTCTGTCAATAAAAAGCTTAAAGAGGTTCAAGCTAAATTCTTTCACTTAACAGTTCTGATAAAGTTCCCAGTACCATAAAATGGGTCAACAGCTCAAGTAACTTACTTCATCAAGTCTTCTGTCAGTGCCCAAAGCAAGGAGGTTATTAAATTCCCTCTCCAGAACAGCACGAGCCTAAAGTTTGTAGTACAAAAGAAATGGAAGTTAATTCCAAAAGATTAGTAATTAGTAACCTATAGTAATTTTTAAAATGTAATATAACCCAAATTGTTTAATAACCTCTTATCAGATTAATAAACATACTCAATACATGAAAAGTTAATTTCAAATTAAAGTTGTAACTTATTAAAAATTTAAGGAAGACTTAACAGCTCCCCATTCCCTTTGTTGTGATATGAAAATTCTTGATTTCTGCTTCAAACTTAATTATTTCAGAATAAAAACTAGCAAACAATAAACCTGATGAGTTTTACACTAATTGTTGTGAAGATGGGCTATGAGGAAAATATTCAAACAATATCTTTTGTTCGAGCAAATTTATCAACCAGAATTGTTACTAACAATTAGAAAACAGTAAGAAAAGCATAGTTCTATGTTTTTCTCTTACAGGATAATGGACAGCTTTCCATTTCTAAAGTTTCTAGAGCTGGGAATAGAAAGACAGGCACTTACCTAGAAAAAAACCAGTCAGTTCCATTTTTAACCTTCCTAGAGGGGAGAAAAACCCTATCAGCCATCAAGTAACTACTTCTTGCTTACCTGTGTGTTTTGAGTGGGTATTTGTAATAAGAGAGCTAATGCATTGTAATCAAATGATTCATCTAAGGCCACAAGTGCACCATGAACTCCGCTCTCTATAAGGTTATTCGCATATTCTTTAAGACCAATGGACACTACCCAATGGATCATTCTTTCATTGCTCCAGACAAGGACATCTATGGAGGAAAAAAAAAAGTTGCCCACTTTATATGACACACTTTTCTGAACAAATAAAACAGAGTCCTTTCTTGATCTGTATGCTGGTGTCAAGACTGATTTTCACATATACACAATTCATCATAAATTCTGTTAAGTAGTAGCCCTCAAGGAATTTTGTTATTTAACATTTAGGTTGCGATCTAATCTGCCCCTGCCTTTTTGGTGTGCGTGAAATGCTCTGAATTGGCAACAAAACTTCATGCTTAAGACTGCACTGCTCCGTGTTCGATCCTTTCCATACAGTGGCTTTCCTTGCACCCAGAAGGAATAGTCCTTGCTCAATCTCCTCCCTCTGCCTAGAGGGAGGCTGCAGTCACAGTTAGGAGACAAGTTCAGCTGGGCATAGTGTTCATGCAGATAGGGAAGACAGGGTCTTCTATTTTACACAGCCACTTAGGGGCTTGGACCTCAAGCAAGACAGATTAAATATTTGAGGAAAAAATTTTACTACTCAAGAGAAAAATCTTGTAGCAGTTTTTCATGCACTTCCTACTGAATTTGAACAGAAAGCTTTATTTATTATTGTTTAAAGCTTTATTATTTATTAGTTTTATAATCTTGTCTACCTTTAAGTTCTGAAGGTGTTCAATTTAGTAATGCAGACTTACCTTCAGCTTGTGTATGCATACTACTGCACCCTTCCACAATCATAAATTTAAAGTGGAAAGTAAACATATTAGAAGTTTGCTGGAAGGCATTTCTTACTGTAACAATTCAACAATCAGTATACTTTTATCTTCAAACTTTTTCAAGTAAAAAACATTGTAGAGTAGCATTTACAGGTTCAGCCCAAATGTCAAAAACTATGTTCGTACAAGTAGGTTTTTTTACACTACTCAGGAATGCCTATACCAATCGAACTGTTATGACGATCCACAGCATGTTTCTGGCTTGTGTCAACTAGCATTCTTCCCAAACAATTCCCAGGAGGAATCGAACAGTTTTATGTTCCAAGGAGCTACGCCCTAAAGGCAATAGATGCAGCCATACCATTTAGGAGGCTAAAAAAAAGCCTACCAGCCACAACACAGGCTTGTTTCATGCCAGTTAGTTGCAATTCCTGGGAACATTCTCGGGCACAATGAGTAGAATAACCACCAAAAGGTATCAACAGTTTAAAAGGGGAAGAGCAAGCATAGAGTCTTCTAAGCAAATTCTGTACAAGGTAACCCTGAAATTTTAGTCTAAGCTGTCAGAAAAGACTTCTGGTATTAGACAGGGGACAAAATTTCTATGAGAAAAATACTGTGAAAACCTTCATTCTCCTAAAACATTTAGTTTTGTTTCAAACTTCAGAGCAGTAAGAGTTTCAAAAATGTCTGCATTTGTAGCACATCTCTGCATGACTGAATGATTTAATGATGTGTTTCATGATTCACTGTTTGGGTTCTGCATCCAGACACATCTGCTCTATTTAACACTTCATATTTTATAAATAATTCCTCCCTCTAATGCCCCTTTTTTTCCCCTCCAATAAATTTTTGAGGCAGATCAGCAAAAACACGTTAGAATCAGACCAAGATGAAGATAACGCACTAACCCTTAATTTCATTCTGGCTTTCTTCTCTTTTTCTTTCAAGTTCTTTTCGATCATAATTCAGTCTTCGTAGGCACATAATGCCACACTGAAAACTGTTTCTGTTTAGAAAAAAAAATTTTTTAGAAAAAAACAGATACAGAAACATTTATTGTAAGTTAGGTTTCCAACTTAAATCTATTTACCTGTGAAAGCTGTCCACCATTTTAAGTTGCCCACGCAGATCTTTTTTAGTTAAATGATCCAGCATTCGAGCATCAACAAGACATTCCATGAAATAGCTGCGATACTGAGGGAGCCCCAGACTAGGGAGCCATTCATTGCCGATCCACTCATGGTTCATATCACCATATGCTAACGTCTGTTTTTAAAAGATGAATGAATAAGCTTATTAAAATGAGAAATAAAAGAGAAAAGCTTTTTTAGACAACGTATTTTAAAGAAAAAAGTAAAACATAAAACAATGCTTACTTAATTCTTAAGCTGTAAAGATAAGCAAATAAAAATATTGAATACTACATGTATGTTTTCTGAAGAAGTCAACCTCATGAAGAAAAGCAAGTTTAGATATTCCGATCAGCAAGTAAAACTGACTTTATTTAATGTTAAAGAATATGAAAAAATATTCAAAAACTAATAAAAATAAAAAAGACTAATCTACTGTTTTGATAGCAAGAGCCATAGAATTTCATTTTGTTAAGATGCTAAAAAAACCTGTATCTCTTGAAAACTGGGCGGGGGGGGGATTCTTATTTTTCACAGGACCATATAAATACAGGATATAAAAAAAACCAAAACACAACTGCAGGGCTTTGTTTTTTTTAATACTTAACTGTTTTCAGCAAGTGATCCCAATCAAGTAAGCAAAAAAAGATAAAAACCCACTACTGAAGAAAAAGCAATTCTAAATGCTAGTCCTTATCCTAAAAACAAAAGCCCCCAAACAAATAGAACAAACGAGCAAACAAACAAGCAAACCCACAAAAACCCCACTTCCTTCACTGTAGTTTTGACCAGCAAATCAGGCATTTTTTGGAGAAAACTTATAAAAATAAGGGAGTCTGAAACTATGCATCTAATCATTCCTTGAACAACAAAACCCAGCAGTTCTTTTTTTTTTTTCTCAAAAGTCAAGGGTAATAATTCATTTTTACTGTGCAATTAAAATTCAAAAGCTTTATTTCCCCTCTAGAGGAAGCTTTTTCTAGAAAGGAGCAAGGTCACATAGAAACGCATTCCTTCAAGCCATCGCTAGATAGCAGACTGAAAGAGCATGTTACTCTTTTAACAGAGAGACAAGCTATGATTGTTACCATCGACAATCTGCACATGAGTATCTGAGATGTAGTTAATGGGACTTAAACAGGTTCAGGCTGGAGTGCAGCCAAGCAAGAATAGACTATACTGTCCAAAGATACAGGTCACAGGCAAAGCCTAAGTTTTGTTTATATCCCTATATAAAATACTCAACTATCTCAATACCTGAAGATACAATTAGGATTTGTCACCACTTTAAGGGAAAACAATTAATCAAGGAGGATTACAGAATTAGTGCACAGAAATCTGCTTAACTATCTAGGCTCAGTATGTCTTGTAGCACACCTGTGATAGCGGCCAGGTTGAACAAGGACTTTCTGCACATGGCAGATATTCTTGTTGAACTTCTGGCTTCCCAGAGAGCCATCCCCCACCAAAACACTCCACACTTTGTCATGAAATAATTTAAAAATTTGATCTAGTATGTTCAATGCATAGAATACAACAATGCTTATTAAGAAAGAGTAACTACATTTTGGTGATTCATAAGCTAGAGGATAAATATTTCCGAAAAATAATGACAACAAAGACTTCTGAATATTCTTCCCCTGACAGCCCTATTATTAAAAATCTTTATGCATAGCTTTTTTGTCATGTACTATGTAACAAAGTATTTCACAAGTTTTCAATGATGAACCACCAAATCTTGGGAGTTCCAGAAAATATTCTAATATTTAAATTGCCTAAATATAAAAGTGTATCTTCCAAGCATGTATTATACAGAGATAAATAAGCCTGTAGTATCCCCCTCTCCCAATCCCCAAGCCACACCAAGAGTCACTAAGAGAAACTGCTATAAAGGAAAAACAGATTCTTTCATGCTCTAATTATTGTGACAGCTTACATATAGTCTATAATATTACATAAAGTTTCCAACCTGAGCCCAGCTTCCCTCCTCATCTTCCTGTTACGTGGTTAGAAAAGCAAAAGAACACATACGTATTAGTATTTAAGTTTAGTAAGAATATCAAAGTTAAAGACACACTGCAAGACTCTAAGTCTACTGCATACCAAAAAAGTCTAGATAAAGCAAGCATCATGCATTGTGAAAAAATATACAAGGCACTTATTTCATATGAGAGGTTGCAAAACCCATCTACTGATTAAGTTTTCTGGAGAGAAGAAATTTCTGCACAAATAATTCAATTTGTCTATTAGTTAATCAAATCGGAGCTCCATTTTACAGATTAGAAAGAGTTTTGTTTACGATCTTATCAATGTTGATTTTTTTTTTTCCCCTTCTGGAAAAAAAAACTATCAATATGCAGGTTACAAGGTTAATAATTAGAAGAAGCAATGATCCACAATTTTAATGCATTAATGTGAAGGAAAAAAAAAAGAAAAAGAAAAAAAGGCACTTGATTCAAATGTTCAGAAAGTGGGAAAAGCACTCTAAGGAACAGAAGTGGCAACACTGTAAACTAACCGTTTGTTGTGTGGCTGTAAGATTTTCCATTTCTTCATGTGTTACCCAGACATTTCCCGTGGTCTAATATGACCCCACAGGGAACCAATCCCATCCAGTGAAAGGAAAGCAGTAACAAAGAGGAAAGGTTGCAGAACATATAAGCAATCGGTACATGTAAGGAGCAGGCATGGGCAAAAGCAATGGTTTCTAAAGTCTTAAGTATAGGTATATCTATTGAAAGTAATGGCATGGAATAAAAGCCTATTAACATGGATCACTTTTCTTCAAAGATATTAACAAAACTGAATGAGATAAACAGCTTACACTGATGTAATTAATGGGCAAACACTTGACTCTGCTCTAATCCGAAAAATGCATTTGTAGTCTAATACGTAACCCCAGGAATCTCAGAAATAACTCTAGAATGCAGGGCAGAGAGACTCATGAGAGGGAATTCATGCTAACCTTAAGTGTCTAAATTTACTATAGTATAGAGACAGGTGGACTCCTAGTTTATGTAGTCTGTATCATTATCTGGAGTTAATGGCCTTATACAAGGATTAAAAGAGCCTCCAACTACTTTACAAATTTCTGTATGCACATGTGTGTTTCATCTGTGTTATAAATTCTTCTGAGGCCAAAAGATGAAGCAAATAACATGTACTCTAAATATTTTGGATTATATACTTACACTGATATATACTTCTCTTTCCCTTAAGAAAGACAATGTAGTTATTCCTTCATTTAATTTCCATGAAAGGAAGAAACAGCCTATATTTAAAACACGTGTTCCTCTACAATGTAATGTTTCCAGAAATTCTTATTTGAAGCTCAAGTCCTTTCAGTTACATGGTTATGGTAGAATTTTTGGAAATTCTAATGGTTCTAAAAGATGTTTAATGCTAGGTCACTTTCCTTACCGTCCTTGAGGTGGGAGGGGCAGATGGACTCGTTAGTGACATGATTTCCTGAATGGCCAGCCTCAGCTTCAGTCTGTGCAGAGGATTACTAATTCCAATTTCACGCTGTATTTCTGTATCAGACAAGGCTGACATGATAGCACCACTTTTCACATTTGCTCGGCAAGCAGCCACATACCAGGCTGGCATCCCAACCCACAACTGAAACACAAAAAAAAAAAAAAGGAAGTAAGCAGGATCTGGAAAACATTCCTGGCTCCAAAACCTTAGATTCTTCAGAAGTCTGTACACTGGAGGGGGGGTGTGTGTGTTAATTATTTATTTTGGAAGCACCACTTACCTCCAACCACACAACAACAGTAGGCCCATCCCACTGTGCAAAAGGCAAACCTTGTCTTCTGGCTTCCTCTAGCAACTCATGCCTACAATGACAGAAACAGCTATTAATAACAAAGAGAAACTAGTTATAACTAGATGTTACCATTTAAACACTGCATTCGGTTTACTATCTTCTTTCCAATAGTTCGCTTTCTCCCTTTCTCAGCCTTGTATGATATACCCACTAAGGCAGCCACAGCACACGTACAAGGACTACGTAGTGATGTAAGCTGAACCAGATAGGAAATTTCAGAGTGGCAGAGATGCTGGATCTTGCCTTTCAGAAATTTGTGTCTGAAACTGCTACTGACACTCTAACCAACACTGCCAACACAAAGTGAAGATGTCAGACTTATTTGTCAATCAGATCTTCAGTTGCTGCAATTTTCTGTTCAGCAAATTAAGTCTGAACCAAAGTAGTCATTTTTCCTCAACATGCAGATTTGAAACCTGTGGAAATGTATGAGTACATCAGATACCCATGCCATCGAAACAGTACTGTCCCATCAAGCTGTCGAGGCTGGAAATTGGGACAGTAATCATTTAATTGGTGAATTTCAGTTTGCAACAGTGAGCCTGTCAGAATTTCAGGCATAGCTTCAGACAACCATTATATTCAGAGACCCACACTTTGGCAATTATATTCTGAAAGGCTATGTAGTGAAACCCAGCTTTCATCTCCTATGATGACACCATTTCCTTTGTTATTCTGAAACAGAAGAGAGTGAAGTTTAATATTGACAATTCAGCTTACAGAAACAATGGAAGCTCACAAGATCCCTATAAATAGCTGCCAAAAATGTTCAATAAACCAAGAGACAAAAACTAGTGTTGCGGGTACAAGCATGCAATGCTGCTTGGATACGTCTGTGTGGAAAAAAAAAGGATAAAGTCTGAAAAAAGTGTATTTAAGCTGCTTTTGAAAACTGGTTGTATATGGTTAAGTCTCCACTCACTCTCCTCAGAAGTTTAAAAAAAAACAACTTCATCTAACTGGACAATTTTTACTGTTTAATGCTTTTTATTCATACCTGCAAGTGTAGAATTAAGAAGAGAAGCAGCAATACTACAGTTTGAAGATCCTACATTATATATTTATCATTTTCTCACAATTTAAACCAAACAAAATCTCCCTGCCTTCAGAACTGTATTGTTGAATAGATGCAAGATCATAAAATATTTAGAAGTTACAGATGTTAAAAAACTACCACACAAACCATCTTGAAAAGGGGTCACTGACAGACTAGTAGCTTTCTTTGCTACTACTGCAAAACAGATATGCAGTATTCAGCTCTTTTAGACAAGCTAGCATACCTAGGATCTTCATGTTATATTGGTAGATAACTAAATATAAAAATATAATCAATTCAGTAATCAATAAATATACTAGCAACTGTTTTATCAATAGACAGTACTTCTCCACCTGCATGGCAATAAACTCCTATTGCTCTAGAAGAGCCTCCCAATACTTCATCCTAATTAAATGTACTGCCCAGGAATGAAAAAAGGGGAGGAAGGAAGGAACTGCCAGATAACTTCTTAAAAATAATCGTTCTAATGTACCCATTTTAAGACCCAACAATTAAGGTGGAAATAGTGTTCAGCAGTTAGCAGCTCAATAGCTAGATTTATTAACAAAGAAGAGAAGACCATAAGAGCTAATACGTATTTGTACACTTCAAAAAAGATATATATAATTCTAAATTAGGAATAAAGGATGAGCTATTTTCCTGCTACTGCAGAACACATGACATTAATCCCACAAATCACTAGCCCTGAACACATTTAGCTTTGTTGCACTTTGTTGTTTAAAGATTAGAAAATGAGAAAAAAAAGTTAGCAAGATATTAAAAAAATACTGCTTGGTAAGAACAGAATAAAATGCTTAATACTGTATTTGACACAGAAAGGAATACAATGTTTTTTCCAAGTAGTTTAACTTCAAATTTGGTGTCTTTGTCTTCCTTTTTGGTGGTTGTGGTAACATGACTGTGCAGCGGGGGAGGCCCACTAGTGATGAAAGAGCACAGACATGCCCAGAATAGCCTCTGTTTTGACTAGGGTGACCCAAAAAGAGCATGCGATCCCTGCCTCTCCCCAGCTTATAAAGCTGCTTGGGGTATTGTATGTAATTCAGAGAACTGGAGTGTAATTTCTGAAAGTTTTATAAGTCTCCCTGCGTACTTCAGGTTAACCATGAAACAGCAAATCATTTGGAGATGAGCAGTACAGGGAACGTATCAAAAGCATAAGGTGAGGTTATGATGCAAACTTTAAACTCATGGTGGTATTGCATGCAGAAAACAATTGTGTGGCTGGAAGGAAGTGTTACGTGATGGAGGCAAACATGTAGAAATAGAAACAAATCAAAAATGTTTAAGAGATAACTTTATGCAGAAATTATTCAATGGATCCAAAGAGGAACACATCCATGAAGTAGAAAATTAACTGTGGAATTTAATCATATGCAAGAAGAGACAGAAACTTCCTTGCATGAGGAATCATTAAACTGAAAGCTCAAGACAACACAGGGACAAAACATCTCATGGGAAGAATTCAAAGGCAGCTGCTGTTTTATCTGCAAATGATGCAAGTTTTCCTATAGCAGGGAACTTCACTTTTCCAGCAATTCCATTCCAACTTTACCAAGAAACTTGCTGCATTCCAGCAATACATGATCAGATTATGTAAAGATCACAACTGACATGCCGGTTTAGTTTCACAGGCCATCCAATTATACCATTTAAGAAGTGGGTGCAAAATCCAGCCTCATATCTTAGTGAGGAAAAAAAATATCGCACTAGTGTTGGCAGTGTTAACAGATGGTATAAAGCTGGCACTGTGAAGGATAAAAGAATGTCAAAGGAGTAGCTGGCTACTGCAATAACCCTTAGGTGACAAAACCAAGGGATAGATGTCTACAGACTTAATAAAAAGTTGGCTGAACATCACTTGGAATGGGAGACCAAATGTGCTGCTGCAAGGGGGGAACACTTGTTGTTAGACATGTTCAAAAGGCATCTAATGCCAGCTGTGGAGAACAAAGAAATTGTGGTCATCTGGGATGAGAAATGATGTCAAAACTGCAGGTGTTTGGTGTAGTGAACACACAAGGCCCTTTAAAGACCATCTGAAGTATTTGTATTTAGAATGGCTCTTGGCAGGCAAGCATATGCTAACCCCACAAGGAAAACAAAGCAGCCTGGAGCTACATCACTTTGTCACTGGATTAAGACAGCATGGGAATGGATAAATCCAGAACTTGTAGCCAAAGGGGACTGCTGTATTCCAGATTTCTTGGATGGAACTGAAGACAACTGATTTGGAAGAAGTTCAGAGTAGAGAAAACACTGTAGAGAAGGTGGTGAAGAGAGTGACAGTGATGGAAATGACAGAGCTGCAAGGTGTAGAAACTGAAGGGCAACAGTAGTAAAACACGAGATAAAAAGACTAGTTTCAGGCAGAGCATCAGTGGAAAGTTATATCCCTATTATATATTGATTAAAAGTATGTAATAAACTTTTTGTGTATAACTTTTTTTAAGAAGAGTTATCTTAAATTTAGGGTTGCCTTCCTTTTTGATTAATACAGTATTAAGTTTGTTGTGTTGTACACAGAAAAGCACAAATACAGTTGTGGCAAACACTGTCAACAGTACAGCTCACCAAGATGATGAACAGCATGAACAAGACACTAAAACCAACTTAAATTTAGTAAACAAAGAGCAATGGTTTTACAGAAATACATCTACCTTGGAAATGAATTGCCACAAATATCTACTATTGCTAAACAACTTTCAAACCCCAAATTACAGAACTAATGCCATCTAAGTATGGTTTAATATTTCCATTATAAAAATTCACACCATGCAAATTAAGACAAGACATTGAACTAGCATTCACACTGAACTAGATGACACTGGATTTATTTCAGCAACACATTTTCACAATAAATTCTTTTGAATCTAGTATCTCCTCTCATGATTACAATTTTTTTGAAAAAGTTAGAGCTTTTAATATATTGCTAAAAAATCCAAATGAGATTTATCATAATTTCACAACAATCCTAATAAAATAAATACAAACTTACCCTGATTTTGCACTACCACATCAAATGGTAAACAAAAGGAAAATAAAACAATGAAGGAAAAATATAAAACTAGGATTAAACTGAACTCAAAGGCATACAAAAACAGACAAATAATGTATACTGTAATTTCGTTCTGTAACTATAAATAGGTTTTTGTTAGTAAAGACATTGAATACTGCCCTCAGCCTGTTTGTGTGCATGCATGCAGAAATCAGAGATAAGCAAGCAAATAGGGATTAGAGACAGCTATAAATAGAAATAGCTGCCATTGTTCCAAGCATTCAGGTAACTGGAATTTTTTGCTGAATACAGGATTTTATAAGTGAACAGTCAGCCTTGAGAATTTGTTTTACCACCACCCTCCTCCAATATCAAAGTGAAAAGCAATTCAGAGCAGTTTTATCACTTTTTCGTAATGAACTTCTCAAGAAGGCAGCAAGGGATCTTTGACACTTTGTGATAATATTGCTTCCTATCTTCAGAATACCTGTCAGGATTCTGAAACAGCTGGATTAAAGTATCTTGCTGGGATTTTTAAAATGGTAAGATTTATTTCTCATGGAAGTTCAAAGGGTTCTGCTGCTGCTCTCAGCAGTAAGAGTAATAAAAATAAACATTAGGATACGTGTCTTCATCAACACATTCCTGTTTCATACCCACTTTCACTGAAATATCTGAATTGTAGATACCTTCCTGTGAATAAGCACATACCCGTATTTAATAGCTAGGCAAGGCAATTTCAAACTAAAAGTTTTCATTTGTCTAACAGAGACACTTGCCTTTTAAGCAACCAACAACATGCAGCCATGAGGTATACTTTAAGTAATATCAGGAAATTTTTGAAAGGCAGAATGTTTACAAAGAAAAGTCATGATTTATCTGCAACTGCATTTTTGTATTTATTAAAGCAAGACAGTATAGACTGTTTTACTGTAGAATTAAATTTGTTGCTGGTATTGAGAAAGATCTATATTGTTCAAAGAACAGGCCTACCACTATTTAGATATGACCAGACTAGAACTATTTATTCAACCAAGATGTGGTACGACTTTAAAGATCTGTAGAAAAGGGAAAATACCAGATCATAATAAGGTACGATTGCCTTCAGTGTAACAGTCTGAAGAAAAACAGCTGAGTGTTCTGTTATACAAACAAAACCACATTCCATTCTGACTTTTCAAACCAACACACTGCTGGTTTTCATTAGCAGTCACCAGGCATTACTCTTATTTGTTAATAGAGCTTAGGTACTGCAAGAAATCTCTCACAAAGAGAAAATTAGCCCACTTTCTTTTCAACATTCACTATTCTGTCTTCAGAAGGCAAGTAAAAAAGCAAGGCATGTCTGATCTTGGTCAGCTTTTTTGACACAGAGTAAAGACAGCTGAATAGAACAGAAGCAACAAAAGTTCAAGGTATATGGCTCAGCTTTGAGTGGAAAAATGCAAAGAATGCCTGATCCTATTTACATAAATTTGAGTGTTTCCTGTATTACCATATAAGTATCAAGTCAAGATTTCTACTAGTAGCGATATCTATTCTTCACCTATGATTATAGTCTTTGCTTCATCTTTTCCAAGTCTGGGAACAACAAAGCATGCAATAGATACTCAAAAGTTGAACAGTAAAGTAAAGATTTTCTTGGACACACACTGAAAAAATTCTTGTGACTAGTAAAAGGTAACTGCGTACCTAGAAGGTGCCATTACAAAGGAAATAGTCACAATTTATAAAAAAAAGAGGAAGTCAGGGTTATATAGTGCAAGGAAAAAAGATTTCAGCTGTTAAAATGTATGAGAGAAAACACAAAGACAACCTTAAATAGAAGTGAAAAAATCGGTGAACGCAGCAGCAGTTAGCAGCTGCAACACAAAAGGAAACACTTTCAGTCACCTGCTAGAAAGGAACCAGCAAATGCATACAGAAGGATGTCTGTACAGAACATCTCGTGCTTTCATTCTGTCAACTCTTTCACACTCCAGAGCAAGTAACAGCCAAAGGCAACTTTGGGAAATCTTCCAAATGAATTAAACCCAAAGCAGGTACTAAATATAACAAATTTGGGGGAGGGTTTGATAAGAGTCCAATTTTATCTCCATGTTTGTTTATTACAGCATTTCAACAATAAATTTTCAGCATTGAAATTCATTTCAAAGTTACCACGACATATGCTACCATTAAAGTTGTGGAAAAAAATAGTAAAAAAAATTCTAGAGGCTTATTAGCCATAGCACCATACTAGGCAAAAACACCTGAAAACAAAACAAAACAAAAAAAGAAAACAAAACATTTTTAAACAAAGCAATACCTTAACAACAGAGGATTAAAAATATTTGATAACTTACTTTTTCTGCATTTTCCTGTTTTTTTCTGCCTGACCTCCAAGCTTGCTGAGACCTAATGCATCCTGAGAGGAACTATCTGCTTCTGCCATGCCAACTACAAAAAAACCCAAAACAAAAACCAGTCTTGTTATCTTCTCAGTTCTGGCCAGTTGTAACTCAAAAATCACTACTGCTTTCTTGAACAAAACTATTTAATCCTTTGTAATACTACTGATCAGAAATGTACAAAGCCAAACCTCCAAGACCATCTACCACGTCATTCTCTAGTTGAATACATACCCATCACAATGGTGCATAAACATAGGAAAATCAGATTGCTATGGACTCAAATAGGTGCTGTCTAAAACCAGCTGGAGTCACACAGAGAATCTCATGTTTCAACCACCTGTAAGGTGAATTATTAGTGTTCCCATATCACTTATGGTTGGTGTCAACATCAAGGATACTGCTTTATGCAAAGATTTACACAAGAGAGAAAGGTAACCGTAGTATTTCCTAAGCCACCTGGGTTCGTTTCAAGAGAGTTCCTTTGGGTACAAACTGAAGACATGACTGTTGGTGTTAATACTAACAAAAGCCTCTTTCCCTTCTGAGATACAGTTTAAATTTTTGCTTCACAAAACAAGCTGTAACAATTCAGTAAGGTTCAATAACCTGGCTACTTGAGACTAAAAGACAGCAATACATGACTAGTTGAACTTGGATCCTACATTCATAGAAGGACCTACAGAAGATTCAGTGTCGCTAGTTCCAAAAAATGCTGTACATAAGCATCAAAATAATCATAAATATGCACAGACTGATACACACATCATAAAATTCAGTCTTTCACTCTCTCTTTTACTGTGCCAAAAAAAAAAAAAAAAAAAAAAAAAAAAGGGGGCAAACCAACCTTGTCCTAATGTTTCCTTGCTTGCTTGTCCAGGTCGTCCCTTTTCTTTCTTGCCAAACAAGCGGCCAATAGAGGATTTAATCCCCTTCTTTTTGGGGGCTTTATGAAGAGAATCTTGGCTACTATTACTGCTACTAGGATTACTTGTTTGCCCATCTTGCGAGCCTGTTGAACTTTACAAAAAAGGAGTTATAAAGGAGCACATGTACAACAAATTCACTGGCATAACATAGTGAGAGACAAGTTCAGGTTTCTGTGCAAGTTAACAAAAGCTCAGTAACTCATTAATGACATCTAATTTCAGCTTTTAATGAGTCATGAAAAGAAACGTATCTACCAAAATACATGTCATTAAACAGAAAAAACAGTGGAAACAACTAAACCATGCAAGAAAGGAAGGGATAGAATATTCATATACTGTAGCATGTAACAAGTCAATTCTCACTTTAAGAAACAAGAATTCAAGTGTTTAAAGTGCAATTCACAGAGGCCAAAGTTGACAACACAAGTTCCTGACAAATTGAGCTAGACAACAGAAGTTTGAAATACTTGAGTGGAATCCATCCCAGATATTTAGGAACTTTGAAAAGAACATCTGTCAACCAAAATGATGGTAATTTTGCAACTTATTTCTGAATTCATAGCTAAATTCCAGTCTATAAAAGAAGATTGGAATTGTACATCTTGCATTTCTGAAGCAAACTTAACACAGACCTTGAGTACCAGAAGAATTCTTCACATAAAGCTATTTCTGATCATTAACAAAATCTGTATTCTTACTGTTTATGTAACATAATCACCCACTTATGTCTTCATAGTCCTTACTTCTGAGAAACACTTCAATATCTAGACTAAAACCCTATAGGCTGAACAGCTTTGCAGATTTAGGATTTCATTCTGATAATCTGAAATACTAAATTACTGGTAGGTCTGACTTATTCACAGCTACTTACTTTCTTATGTCCCTGATATCTTCATGGCTCACTGTATGCAAAGCTCCTTTTTGGACTCTGTCCAAACGCAAAGATCGAGGTGAAGAAGGTGGTGATGTTTCACATTTTATTGTGGCTTTATCATCTCGTACCTCTTCTCTAGAAGCTGGAGACTAATGGAAAACAAATGAAAACCTGAGGGGTTAGTTGGAAATGGCAAAACATGAATGCAATGTCAACACTACACAAAATACTGAAAGGAAAAATCAATTGTTTCAGTGTTAAAGCATTACTCTTGCCCTTACCATTCTGCAGTTGCCTCATTTTGGTTTAACTATTTTCTGGATTTTCTGTTACCTTCAGTGACAAACTACTAAATTTCAGTCTTAGCTAGTGAAATGAGCAAGTAAGCATTCATCTTTTATTCACTCATAGAGCTAAGAACTAAAGTAATGTCTTCACCACCATAAAACTAATATACCTGACTTCAGTTTAAGCCAGTGCAGAGACAGAAAACCAGAGGATCCTGTGAAAAGAAGGCATCCTAATTCTCACTGTTATGTGTTTAGACAATCACTAGCAAGATTCTACGAAGTCAGTTTCTACATACCTGTGGCTACAGTTTATCTCAAAGTTTGAATAACAGAAATTAAGACTTATTTGTGTGAACACTAACAGATATTTAAAATTACATATTGTTTCATGAAGATTGCAAAATAGTGGTTACAAACAGAAACCAATGCAACAGCCCCCCACACCAGCAAAAAAGTCAAACAAGAAAAAAAAAAACAAAACAACCCACAAAAAACAAGCCCACACTTATGTTAAGAAGATAAACCATTTTACATTTAATATCAAAGAGCATATAATCTTGCTTTATTATAGAGTTACCCTGCAAATGCTTTCTTTTATGTTCTTGTTATCCATCAATCAGTTTGGGGACAGGGAAGGAGATGAAGACGCACAACAGTAAATAAACTAAAGATTTTTACCTTTCTACGATGTTTCCTTAAATCGCTAGGCTGATAGATGCATGCAAAGAAAAGAAATTTGGAAAAGCTGTATTTATTGTAAACTGTAGCACAGACTGAAACAACTAGTACAGACAAAACATACTAGGGATAATATAAATAACAGTTACAGCAATGGCACAGAGAAAGGTACACAGTATGAAGTACTCTTCAAATCACAGATTACTTAAATGCATCCCTGAAGAGCGGAAAGGGAAGAAAAAAAATAATCAAGACTTATAGTTGGTTATCTACAAAAGTACCGTCGATATTTGAATGTATTAGTATCATAGGCAAATTAGCACACAAAATGTGCATTATCTTCAGCAAGAAAACCAGTCAAGCACACAGGGGTGTAAGGTGTTGCTTTTAAAAGGTGAGAGGATTTCCAGTCATGTATCAAGAACTTGCCTTGAACTATCTAACCTACATGGTGGCCACAGCAGGCTTAATACATTGTCTGCACTAGTCTCTTCTCACACCTTAGCGATTTCTGCAGTTGTTTCCTACATAGCATAAAAAGCAGCCATACTTCAAAAGACAGAGTGCCAACAATAGCTGATTTCTATACAGTAACACTATTCTGTTCTTTTTACTAAGTTTAAAGTGCTGGAATGTTTCAGCAAGAGTCTACCATCGGTTTTATTTTATCCTCCATCTACTCCAGAAGCCACTGTACCTCACTTCCTAGGTACTTCTCACCTCTGCCAGTGCACAGAGCAAGGCAGCAACCTTGATTCACGTAAACAAGTTATCAAGTTACTCTGACTGATGCTGACAAAAGTTTAATTTAGATAATCTGTTTAACAGTTATCATTGCATTTGGCAAAAAATTATTTCAAAAGGCTGTAACCAAAAATAAAGTCAGTCCCCTCTGCAGTTGGGGAATTGTGTGTTGTTCCCCTTCCATAAATGACAACTTTTAATAATTTTTTTATTTAGAATACATGTAAACTATGCAACATTACTATGTAAAGTTTTGTTCAATCTGACTGTAGAGAATCCTAGAAGAGTCTGGGTTGGAAGGGACCTTTAAATAACATCTAGTCCCTCCCCAAGTTCTTCGACAAGGCACAGATGACTCATTTTACCCTTGCTGGGTCTTTCAGCTATTAAATTTGATAACCCATAAAAATGAAAATATTTACCACATGAAATGAAAACTGTCCACAAGAACTTACTGTTCAAGAGAGCTCCAGGTTTCACAATTTATCATGTTGATGCTTTTTAATTAATTTTAATCATGAGGCATTTTCCTGCTAACTGAACTGCCTAACACCACTACTGCAGTTAGCATTAAGCTAATGTTGCCAACTTTCTACTAAATCATCGGAAAAAAACCCACAAGAACTCATTCAGTCTGATAATTCATAATAGCCATTTTGAAAGTTTCTAGAAAGCTCTTGTTCTGTAATTCTAGAAGCATACCTTCTTGTTTTCATGCTTTCACAAATCAGTTGCTAGGTATGAAAACATCAGAGAAATGCAACTGCAAAAAACGGATCCAGTGTCTTTGATTCACAATTCTTATGATCTAAAGTGACTTAATTACAGTTTACTTTTGTTCAGTTACATTAGATTTTAATACAAGACACAGATTCTTCTGATCTAGTTTTCATGAAAATAGCTACTTAAATTTGTATATGGTTTTCTGTAAGAGAAGTACTTGGTTTAACTACTTATTACTGGGAAACTTTATATTCTAAAGCACTCCACATTTTGAAATTTGTTAGTTTCTGTAAAAGAAGTGTGCTTGGCCCTGGATATGTGGCTAGAGCTAGTATAATGATTTTTTTTTTTTTTCCATTATAAAAAAAAATAGACTTTTTGGTATACATACACATCCATCTTAAAAAGCCAGCAAAAGCAGTTAGCCGAAATACTTACTTTTAAACACACCTATAAGAGACCTAAATGAGCCAAGTCAGTCATTTACAGTCCACCTGCTCTTACAGTGATGGATATCATCCCTTGTCTACCAATCGGCATGATATAGGCATGATAAAAGTACAGTAATCCAAGACAATAAGGTATAGTAAGTATGGTGTTGCACAGACAACTAGTAAGTACAGCTTCCAAATGCATATGCAAATCTGGAGATAAGGCTATATATATATATATAACTAAATTACAGAAGGAGCTCTTCCTGAAGAGTGCTTGCAAATAATACCCATATCCAGAATGCTCCTTAGTGAAAGGTATCCTAAATATGAGAAACTGTTAGGTTTGCTTAACATTTATGTAAAAACAAGAAAGTGGAAGACTTGTATCTTGTTTTTACAGATAGGTTTACAGGCATAAAGCAGCTCCTAGAAGTATTAATTTTTCTAAGCAGTCGTAAGAATGTCAAAAGAATGGATCCATCTTTCTCTACTCGCTGAACTGCTAAGCCCGAGCTACTACTTCATCAGCTACTAGGTCTAACAGATACTTCTTTTACCTACCACTCTTAACTGGCTAAAACAAGACACTAGCACTCATTAATATTAAAACAGCTGTGATACCTTCACAATCTTCAACATTAATGCAATATATGCAAATCACTTTTTAGCTGAATATTTAGTGGAATAGTGGACCGCTAAAAATAAAGTTTAAAGCGGGGGAAAAAGTGGTTGCTGTACCAGGGGTTGAAAAGAAAATATTATTTCTTCTAGGAAGAGGAGTCAGAAGAAAGACCATAACAACAGAAGGAATACTTAGGCATGAGATGTTGACCAAATAATAGACTTGAGTTCTGAACGTTTTTCCTAATCATTATAACTGTATCTTACACTTTTTATAGAAGTTGAAAGGAAGCAGTAGAAAAACCTAGAGAAAGGAAAAATACAGCTGAGTAAGACGGAAGGGAAGGGGAAATCAAACAACTGATTTCCTAGAGAAAAGGAACACTCTTCCAAAAATGAAAGTTAATGGATACTTACCAGTGTCATGATACCTAGTCTGTCCACTTCCCGAGCCGGACTATGTGGAATCCGCCTTGGGGTAGAGCGGCCACTGCCAGGCGGTGAAGAACCAGCAAGTGAACCACTTGCGTAGGGAGGAGGAATGGAGCTCATGGACCTGAAACGGCCATGGGCATCCAAACTTCCACTACCCACTCTGCTTTCAATCTCCTCTGCACGCTGCTCTGTGTTTTCCTTTTCTTCTTGTATAAGTCTAAAAGAAAAAAGTTTCAAAGGAACATGACATTCAGACAAGTACCATATAAACAGAATGGCTGACTCAGGTACTGCTTCTTTCTAATGCCCATCAGACAAGACAGCCACACTGAAAAATCTTCTAATCCAATCTGAAAAAAGTGGTAAACGCTACGGCTATTACCACCATGCAGGGGATTCTGTCAAACTAGTAATACACAATCCCTTCCATAAATAGGGCTGAAGACAGAGAACCTGAAGCAAACTAGTTACTTCTGTCAATCCCGCCACCAGGAAACTGAATGGGCAACCACCATTTTCCAAGTAACCACACAAAAAGGATTTCTAGTGTCACAGAAACTCATTTTTATCAAAACCTTAACAGCAGATAGACCATACCTAATCTCTTTGTTGATTGCATCCAGCTGTTCTTGAAGCATCATGGCCAAAGTTTGAGCATCAGCCTGACCACTTGGTGATAGCAGATCAACTGAGCTGAATATAGTCTCCCTATCATCCTCAACATCTGAGACATCAACATCACTTTCAAATGCTTGTGCCACATTTGCCAATACACTTGCTTGCTGGGCTCGCTCCCAGTCCTGCTCGTTCAGAGTTTGAACCTAAGAGAATTAATTAAAAAAAAAAATTCCAAACTCAAATGGGAAAAATGTGACATTTCTACTGTTTTTCAAGATGTTTAAAATAATTTTTTAAAAGCCCACTTACATGCTGAATGCATCCATCAAGACAGCAATGTTTAGAGAAACGTAAAAAAAGCTATAATGTAGAAAACTTTGCATCTTACATTTTAGTCAAATTTAAAAATGGACAGGCCCATTGAATAAATTAAAACATCACATATCTTGGCTATATACGCTATAAATTAAGAGTAGAATTTTGCTATCACATCCAATGGGTATTTTGGAATCAGGTTTATGTAATGAGAAGTTATATGTCCTGAAAGGGACTTGAAATTGCTTGCAGAACAGTAACATGTTAATTTAGTGTATAGACATAAAAGTAGGACTGTTTTAAATTGTATTTTACAGGCTTATCGTACTTAAAACAAATTGGACTTCAAAATTATAATTTTGCAATTACTTGCTAACAATTAAAAAGACTAGTAGCCGTGCACTAGTTTGTAAAACAGGATATATAAAATCTAGCAGTTTATTGCTATGTAGTCCTATTCCAAAAACTCCTTGCCATAGATTAGCCTCATTTAATCTATTTTGTTGCCAAAGTTCTATTTTCATTTTGATTTCAGAGTTCTATTACCTTTGAAGGTTCATCTCTGAGAGCTGCCAAACGTCCTTTCTGGGGACGCCTTAGCACTGATGAGGTGCCATAGGAGTCTGTATGACTATCAGGCACAGACGAAGATGTGATAGGGTATCTGAAATCTGGTCGGCTAGAACATGAAGAAACATTTTATCCTTATGAAGGTAGGGGGAAGGGGAAAACAAAAAAAACCCACCCAAATGATTCTTCTTGTCCCACCAGTGCCAATTTTTTTAAGGAGTATAAAAACTGTTTTATATGCTCTATCAAGAATACATTTTATAGTTATAACTAAAGTATTTTCAGTTATAATAGACAATATTATATTTAGCAAAAGTGACTTTAAAGAAATTAGAAAAAAATAAACTACAATTAAGTGCTGATACCTATGATGAAGTGATGTGGCTCTGAGTCTCACTTGGTCATTTTCAGCCCTTAATGCTTCAACATTTAATACAAGCTGATCCTGTAAAAATAAAAAGATAAAATACATAACAATACACTTAAAAAAATCAGTGTCAAATACCGATTTATAAACTAACATTTAGTTTTTTGATCTCATTTCTGTGAAACTCAGAAATAACATATTTTAAAACATACCCTTCAATGACATAAAACGTAAAAATGATTTTCGCTACACACAATACAGCACCATCACAAAAGGGCATCCAAGAATAATTCTGTTGTCTCTCTACACTGTGACTGTAGGTAATGACAATATATATTTTAAAAACAGCTACGAAATCAAATTCACATATTACTAACTTTACTATAATTAAGTGATAATATTTAATAAGAAACAAGAAGATTTTTCAGGCTCTGTGCACAAAAGGTTCTAAATGCATTCACTTTTAACTTGGACATTTTTTACATGCTCTAGAAACTGAGAATTTAACAACAGAGAAATCCAATGAATGAGAAAACAATGAAAGACTAATAAAAAGTGGCTGATGATGAACATCTGTGCCTTGTGTGAAAACTGCTGGCCTACACATACAAAAATTCAAAGCACATTCTGCAAAATATTCTGAATGCGTTATTCATTTTATTACAGAAGCACAGCCTCTACAGTTTGACCTAGCTACTTACTAGAATGATTTGGGGAGATGCAGTACACCTGTGATTTAATAAGCAATAACAAGTATTATTTCAGAACAGATAGTGTGACAACAAAATTAATTGCCACTGCTTAAGAATGCAAAGAAATGAAAGGCCCTACCACTATTATTCAAGAAGAGAACTTGTCAGTTCCAGGACAAGCAAAAGACCAGACAGCTGCTATTGCAAAGGAGCAGCCAAGTCTAATAAATATTTCTCTCCCTGCCCCTCAATTCTTAAAACTTTAAAACAATTTTATCAGTCGAACAAGAACATTTCATGATACCCAATGCTTTAACAAAAAACTTATGGGAAAATACCCAACATTAAAAGTATTTCTCTTTTCTTTTTACTGTTCAAGGTCATACATAAAACAGTATAAAAATTCTGCACAATCCTTAAACTTTGGCAAGTTGCCAACATATCCAGCCACTTTACATATTCAGAAGCATGCTAAGTCTTTGAGTAAAAAAAGCTATGTATTACCTATAAAATCATCATAAAACTGAGGCACACAATACCATAAAATGAGCAATAACAGCTCCCTACTTTTAAACAGACCAGGTAATGTTAAGTTTTATGGGGGAATTCAAATCTGGTCCTGCTATGTAGCAATGCAGCAATTATTTTCCAATATAATATTTCAGAAATGTGTATTATACCTTTTCATGCTGAAGTTCCTCTACTTGTTTTTTTGCATTTTCAATTTCTCGAAGAAGTGAATTCTAAAATAAAACATATCACAAATTATGTTACTCATAAAAGCTTCTAACTCAAACCATAACCAACATAAGTATCAAAAAAATTCAGTCAACACTATACAGATGCATCTTAAGTTACAGATACTTTATTGCTTACATCATTTCACTTTGATTATAGTTGAAGGTTTATCCTTTCAGGTGTACAGCCTTCTAAATAATGGATTTAGTAAGAGTACAAGTTCCATAAAAATTTAATACTAATACTAGCCTTTCAAAGCTCTGACAAAGCTAGTAAAAAGAAAAAAAAAGAAAATAATTAGGCAGCTAAAATAATTCAAAGTAATTCACTGAGTGGTTACTAAGGCATTACTGCCTGTTATCATTAGGTTTTCATTTTATTTTCACTTGCCTGACCTACAAAACTACTACACAGTAATTTCTTGGATGTACTGTACCTCTAGAACTGCAACATTCACTGACTTAAGAGCCTTCATTAACATCAAAGCTGTCATCTTTATTTCTAAACAACTCCAGTAAATATAAATACTTATGACTACTACAATCTCTACTCAAAGCAGTTTCCAAATTTAGACTAAGAATCATCTGAGAATTAAGAAACATTTGAGAGCTACAACAATCAAAAAGAATTTCAACTATTATATTAGACTGTAGTATGTGATACCAAGGGAAAAGAAAAAAAAAAAAGAGAGAGAGATTCCCCTTCTAACAGGAAACTTATAACTGGATCACTTTCTTTTCCATTTCCACCATTGTCAAAAAAGTTCTGCTAAGCACATTTCCTTGAGATAAGTAATACCATTATCACACGTTTAAGATGCAAATAAAGTTTCATACATGAACAAACTAATCATTCTGGGAAAAAAGCCCAAGTGATCAGAAGAAAGTCTTAACATTTTACCTGCATGTTTTTTCCCAACTTATCATAAAAGAATGAGCTGGAAGCCACAGCAAGAATGCTTTTCTAGAAGCTGTTACTCACAGCAAAGGGCAACTAGATTTTCCTCATTATTCATCTACATAGTTAGGGTTTGGAAGGTAAACAGGAGTTAGGGTCAACCCTGAGACACCCCCACAACATTCAAGCATTTTATTTAAAAAAAACAAACAAAAAAGCAGTCAGCTGCTTCTCAGAAACTGAATTTATAAACACTGTTAGAGCAGCCTTGTTGATGTCATAACAAGGCCCATAACAAGAATTTCTGAAGTATTAGGAGCAGTTGGTGATCTTGGAAATAGTGATGTTAACTAAAAACCAGAAGACAAAGTTTGCAACCTTAGGTGCCAGATGATAAGCACCTTTATCACTAACTGAAAGGACGAGAATCAGTAGGACCTATATTTGTTCTGCACTACTCCATTCCTCGCAGCTCCAAGAGTGCAAAAGCAGGGGAAAGAACAAACTACATCTTTGTAATGATCTAAGGGAAGCACAGTCCTGGAATTCTGGAAGGACATGTCAGATACCTGACTGATGGTTTAGGGATGAGAACTGAGTTGACATGTATGAAAGAGAAAGCAAACATTTAATAAAAGTCTGAATACATCGTTATATATTGCAACTGAAGCATTTTATTGCCATGACTTTAAAACAAAAGCCACTCAGCTTTTATTGAAACATTTCCCCAGATGGTCATTTCACTCTCCAGTAAAAGAAACAAAGTATTTTTTTAATCCAAGACAAAGCAATTCAAAGTCACCATCAAGTAAAGCGCTACTTTAGAAGACACTGCTTTGTTCGATGGAAAATAAGGGAATCTAACTTAAAGGCATGCATGGAAGAAAAATCCGTCAGGACCTAGATCCAAAAGCAAAAAGGAAAGAAACAGAGTAAAGTATGTCACAAGTTAGAAGATGAATTGAATACAGAGGAAGGATCTGAGATTTGCACTGACAACACAGGGACAGCCCATTTACATTCACATAACCTGTCTCAAAATTATCTACCTGGGAAGAAAATGCAAGATTGTTTCAGCTTGCAAGAATCCCACAATGACTCAGGATAACTGGTACAGACAAAAGCAGTGGGAAATAAAAGAAACTGAACTGAAAAGGTCGAAGTTCTAGTCCTAATTCTTTAGACTTCCTGTATTACACTGGATGACCCTATTTATGAGTCCACACCAGTCAGCTAAGAAAGAATAAAGCTTCTTAAAAGATGCCTTCTCAGCACTGTAGTACAATGCCCAGGGACAACCTCAAAAAAAAAAAAAAAAGAATTTTAGGAACATATTTTCAAAATCCACACTAGAAAAAGAGCCTTAACAGAAACTACTTATTAATAAGGATTTTGTATTTACTTACTGAAGTTACAGACACATTGCAAAATACACAGATCACTACAGAATGTTGAACATCTAATTAATGTATATGCTGGAATGTGACTTGTTACCTTATCTTCCAAGGCAGCCATCCTCTCCTTGAGATGAAGCTGAAGCCTTTCATTAGATTCAGACAGAAGCTTATCAACAGTTTCTGACAAACGTTTATTATGCTCTTCATTCATCTTCTCTCTCTGTCTAGCCTAAGATACATAAAAGCTACTGAAATAACTTAAAATTTACAATGTCTAACAATTTCCAGGTTGTAAAAACAGTAAGCTTTCTTGAATCCAAATGCATTTTCTTTGATAGAAATATTTTTTGAAGGGAATAAGGAATACTGCATGTAGCTTCCATGACTCTGCAAGGGAGTATAAGGGACACTTAAGACTTTAATAACTGTTCCGAGATCAGAAGCTTGAAAATCTGAGCTTACACTTTAAAAAAAGCAGACTTCAGAACCAGTTCCATTATTTATAACCCAGGAACCAATTTTTCCATAGTCATTTAATTCAGCAAGTTTTTGATCTGTGTCCTCATCAGAAAATATGACCAGCAGTTAGGTATTTCCAAACATATTTTCAAACTTCCATTGGAGACTCAGCTTTTTCTTGAGATTTAAGGTTAGCCATAGTACAGTGGCTCAAATCTCTCAACTATCAGCCAGTCTAAACTCTGGCTTTAGTTTAGAGATGATAAATAAAAACAGCTTTGCTGAATGGTCGGCAGCTATGAAGGGGATTAGATTATTTCTTTCAGCTTTTTATCTTTGCCAAAAGTATGTACAGTACCCTTTGCAGTTCTTGATTCTTTTCTTCTAGCTGTGCTTCCATCTGTCTCAATCGTTCCTCTATATTGCCATGTCTTTCCTCAGCCTGTCAATTTGAAAACAAAATTAGAATTTGGGTTTTTTTAAAAAAAGGTTGCAAAAGCACAGAAGCACAATAATGTATCTAACATGCTTTGCGCAACTGCCATTTATGGTAATACACAATGCAGAAGAGATGCCTTTCTGTCACTAAAAGAACCTAGTAAGAGTTCATATGGTAAGTAACAAAATGATGAAGCCTCTCACCCCTAAGTACCATGAATCAACTACTACTTGCAAATGAGCTTGCAACAGCAGAAGTTCATTCATATCCCCACAAATTAAAAAATAAATTTAAAAAAAAAAAAGCATTTTCAGCTTTTCCTCACTAGCCTAGACAATATGACCCTTTGTTAGTAATCATGACAAAGCAGAAAGCAGCAAGCAGAAACAAGGACTAATATACAAATTCTACCTTCCTAAGCTTGGTGGTAAGTTCCAATACTTTAGCATCTTTAGCAGCAGAGTTCCCAGGAGACAAAAGGTCAGACTACAAAGCCAGTTAGGGACAGGAAAGATAACAGGGAAAGAAATGAAACTAAGACTCCAGAAGAAAACACACACACGCACTTGAAAAGGCTCATCTGTAGTTACTACATATAATTCAGACTTCATTATTCAATTTGCAGCCTTCTAAAAATCTTATTGAGTACCATTACTTCTCTCTCCCCACATTCTTGGTTAACAGTGGAAGAAATTTGGGTTTCCCCTTCAGAAATAGTTCTTGTTTTAGAAGACTTCGTGCCTATTATTGAATGTAGTTTAATAAATAGCAACAAAATAATTCAGAGAGACATTTTCATAAGGTAAGAGTTAACAGAAAACCTGCTCAAGTTCCAAAGAGCAGAAATTTTTAAAAAAGGGAAAAAAAAAAAGTAAATCAGAGCATGTTTAGAGAGATGAACAGAAAATGCAGAAAAACAGAAACATTTTCTGAACTAGTTGGGGGAAAAACAGAAACACAATGTAACCAACACTAAAAACAGATTTGTGTAGCAGGACACCAACAGAAAAGAGAACCTTGAGGACACTGTCCAACCAACTCACCTTTGAAAGTGCAGCAACTCTCTGTGCCAGCTCAGCTTCCACCTCCGGCAAAGTTTCAGCTTTTCTCAAAGTCTGCTGCAGCTTTTGTTCAGCTAGTTCCAGTCGTTCTTGCAATTGTCTATTCTTATCTTCACTCTACACAGGATTATGATCAGCAAATGCTTAGTGTTAAAATGGTAATTAATTTTCATCAGAGGAAGGTAAGGATAAAGATTACTGCCTTTACTAGACCTATGGAGAACAAACTGTCCAAAACTGGTTTTGTAACCAAAGATGTTGCATCCTCCCCTTCAATTACATGAGAAAATTTTTTTCTCTACAGATGGTTTTCTGCAGACAATTTTGTGTATTTTGAAAGCAGCTATATCACCAAATAAACAGTTACGGTATGGGAAGCAGCACAGAACAAGTTGTGAATTTTCTATGTCAAGGCTGTGCTAAGATTTTGAGTTACATCAAGGAAAAAAATCTTTCATATTTTAAATAACACTATGGATATTATTGCAAAATTTATTTTAATTTAAAGCATGTACAACTTCTTTTAAGAATTTTACTAAAAGGGACTTGTTGACTAAGAGTTGCCTGCCTCTAGTTAGAAAGTGATTGGCTAAACCACCATTTCTGGTTTATAAAGCAGGACTACTTCATGTCAAGCATACGTCAGATTTCCTCCCACAGTAAGGCAACATTTATTTCTGTTATAGGCTATAAAAATCACCACACACTACACAAATATAAAGACTGTTTTAGTTTAGAATGAGTAATTCTCACACATGAAACTAAAGATGGTTGGATACACATATAACAACTTAAAAAAGTCAACAATTAATAGGGACAACAGCCCTGCTGCACCATGATCAAGTGCACTAAAACGCTCAAAACCATTTCCCCCCCCAGTAAACTGTCTCATCTTCATTTCCAGGGTAAAACTCCGCACAATGCACTCCTCCAGTTACTGAAAAACAATTGCTAACAATAGCATATTACAGATGATATTTATCTTCCTAAAAGCAAAGTGCTTTAGTACAGTATGTACATTAATTATTTACATTAGTTTTATGCTGAGCAAAATGTACTTTATCTTATTTCAAATTACAACCTGTCGATGCATGGAGTCTTTAGTGGCAATTTCATTTTCAAGTTTATCATTGAGGTCATGCACAGATGTAGCTTCACGTTGTGCAGCGAGGTAGCGTTTCTCAAGAGTTGTAATTCTCTCTTCCATGTCTTCCTTTTGGGCCATAGTCTATGAAAGAAATAAGACAAAATTTAGAATATAAGGGATAATTACTGAGCGATCAAACTGGGGGGAAAACCGACAGACCAAAAATAATAATGATTTTTTTAAAAATCAGATATACTCTGTTATTTCAGTAAAAAATGAAGTTAAAAGAATAGTCTTAACCTTACAAGTTCAATGACTTTGGTTTGGGGTTTTTTTTGGGGGGGGGGGGGGGGGTGTTAAACAGTGAACGCTTCAAAAGATTGGTCTTTATTATATTACACCACAGATCTGCTACTTACATTTTCAATGGCACAAACACAGCAAATCTTTACTTCCTGGGGACGGTCAGAGAGTGTTCTTGGATTTAACTAAGCTCCCTTTCTATTTCATAAAGATACAGTACACTGCAATACATAGGACCTTGGAGGTTAGTGATTGATCAGTAACAGGAACTGTCAATCACACCACTGAAATTGAACTCCTCAACTACAAACATCTTTAAAATTAAAAAATTCAAACTTACTCATGAATAACCTTAGCATTTATGGTAAGATCTAGCATCTTTTCAAGAACACGTTAAAGTTCACAATGCTAAATCTCTAATTTAATATATTTGTGAAGTATCTAGTTAGTCATAGATTTATTCCGAAGACAAATTTTCTTAAGCAACTGGTTTTTTAAACAAAAAATAGCACCATCATGCCCTAAACTATTTTCCTCTCACCTATCAAAGCAAAGATATTCAAAAGCATAAAGCTGTGACTGAGCATCAGTGACACTGAAAATTTCATAGAGCAGTTGCATTTGTGAGTACCCGAATTTTGACAGTTTATTCCTCACCTCTCGTACATCTCTCTGTAACTTTGTATTCATTTCTTCAGATTTTATTAAGTCTTTTCTAGCTGTGTCAAGATCTTCTTCCAGCTCTGTTACTCTGCTAGACAAAGCAGTAAGACGTTCCTTCATTTGTGTCTGCTCTTTGTTTTGCTTATCTATAATGTCTTGGAGTTCAATCACTTTAGCAAGGTTTTCATCATGGCATAAAGAACCATCAGAGGATCGCTATTAAACAGGAAAAAAAAAAAAAGAATTTGCATGTTACACAGAAATTTGAAAAACAAACTGTTACTTACCTGTAAGCACCCCTTCCCCAAGATAATTTTATTATTGGATAGACTGCAAAAATCAGAATTGTGGTAACTGAGAATTTTGAATTAAATCATCCCTCAAAAATATTTTATTATAGTTTAAAATTAAAATATTATAGTGAATGATTAAAAATCAGACATCAGCCAAAAAAAAAAGCAAATGGCTGTACCTTCCCATTTGTAGTTGGTGTATTTTCTTGTTCATGATTTATATCCAGCATCCCATCTGGAAGTGTTTTCTTCTGATTATTTTGCTCTTTCAGAATCATTAACTAAAAGAAAATAAAAGTTTACATACATATGTTTCAAGTCAATTCCTTTCTCACCAATTATATAAGGAACAGCTGCAAAAGCGAAACAACAATTACTGATTCTACTGCAAGGTATGTATTAATAAAATATGGTACAGGCACTCAAAAACTTATGCCACTGCAACCCAAAAATTCTTATTTTAAAGCCACAGGAACTCTTTTTGTTGTTTTGTTGGGGTTTTTTGGTTGGGTTGGAGGGGGCGGGGGGAATGGGCAGGGGGTTGGGGTGGGTTTTTTTGTTTGGTTTTGCTTTTTTTCTCCTTTCCTGCTCTTTCACAGTGATCAAGTTAAAAATTATAGTTATCCCATTTGGAAAAAAAAAAAAAAAAAAAAATCAAACATAAAAAGTGAAAGTGAACCTTAATAACTGAATAAATTACTGTGTACAAATATTGACTAAGACACCCACCATGCACACATGAAGACTTCTTTTAAAAAAAAGAAACCTACCTCTTTATGCGTAGTACCTAGTTCTTCTTCCAATAAGCTACATCTTTCAAGTGCTACTCGTAACCTCTCCCTTACCTGAAAGGGTAATTCCAAATAATTTTAAATCATTCAAATTAAAAAGAAATCAATTTCACTTATTGCCATGCAGTTTCAGATAATAAATGACACTATTTCATTTACACTTAGAGACCTGGTTGATCTTGAATCAGTACGAATTACAACATATGCTACAAAAAACCTCCTAGAGAAACAATGCATATCTTAAAATATAGCTTTTCCTTTTTTATCACAAGCAAATCATATCTCAGCATGACCTGTACATTTAGGCAAGAATTAAACATATCCAGAATTTGCTTATCCTTTTGTAAGGCACAGAGTGAGTATGCTTCTGCTTATTTACAACATGAAAGAAGAGGCAGAATTCTACTTAAAATAATTTGCCAGACTTTATACACAAGGGTCACAAAAGTTAGGCAAACTGAGTTGGCAGTAAAATTCAAAGTAAACTTTACCACTTGCATATCCTGCTGCCAACATCAGACACAACTAAAGGGTGGAGTTCCTTTAATTCAGCTTTACTTTATATCACAGTGTAAGCAGATTCCTCCAGTTCTCTCTAGTCCATTTCTTGTATTACATAATCAAAAGGCTAAATCCTGATATTATACATGTAAGCAACTGTATGCATTCCTACAACAAATATATTGCCCCTGAATCATGCTTAGCTTACATTAGCACAGTTAATGAAGTACTAGCATAAACTACAGCACCTTGCTTTAGTGCAACATATTAATTTAGGAGAGCACTTACTGATGCAGTTACAGCAAAGCCTCTCTTAATACAGAGAAACTTCAGACACCTCTACAACTTTAGTATGAGCAACTGCATGGTCCACACAAAAGACAGAGGGGACAGGAAGAGATGTTAGATACCATATTTCATTACCTTTTCATCAAGGGCTTTATGGTGCTCAAATAAAGATTTTAGTGCTTTGAGAACTTCTACTTCACTAGAAACTCCTGCTGGAGACTGAGCTTGTCTCTTTACAACAGTCATTCTGAGAGATCGCTCATGCCTGGAGACAAGACACTCCAAATGTTCCAGTAATAGCTAAAAAAAAAAAAAAGGAACGAAGTTTATTCCTGTTCTGCATAGCTGCAGAAAACTTTGCCTCCTAAAACATCAAGTTTTGAGTTCTAAACTTCAAATCTGAGAGCCAAAGAGTACAGCATCAAGCATAAGGACCTGTTTTTAACATTTCACCCATGTTTGAAGTTGTATCAGAGCTGACGCGTTTCCTACCCCTCTCTTCCAGTCTAGTTTTGAAATGAGGTTTCTACTTAACCAGGTCTTTTCAGTTCCACCACCAGTCTGAGGAACTGCACACTTGTCAGAAGGATACACATAGGAAATGCTCTAAATCGGAGAGCAACTGTTCTGCTGGCAGCAGCATAAGCTGCTGGAACAGATCACTACAGTTTGCCCACTCTATTCCTCTGATCTTGGGTGTTGAATGATTACAAACTTTAACAAGAAAGCTGAATGACAGATAGCAGTGCAGTCTTACAAGCTTTTCCCGACCCTGCACAGCAGTATTGGGAGCTATGCATAAGCTTCCAAACTTCCTTAACACATATTTGCACTTCCAGGGGGACTCATGCAAATACCAGGGAAAAAATACTTTTAGCTGTTCAAATTCAACATTCAATGTTTTTCTCCATGTAGTTGGATGCTTTAACAAGGGTCATCTTGGAGAAGACAAGGAACTAACCCTTGTATTATTTCTTTCTGCTTTCAGTTCAGCGATTTCTTCTTCCCTTTCAAGCAGCTGCTCCCGGCATACATTTAGCTCTTTTGTAAGCGCTGCAAATTCCTGAAATAAACCAGGCAGAAATATAAGCACATGAAATATCAGAATATAGCGAGAGTGGATTCCTATGAACACTTGACATGATTTCTTGAAGTATTCATTTCGGATGTCTAAAGCAAATACAGTTGTACAAACTTAAGCCTGCTTAGCATGACTAAACACTTAAAATCGTTACACTGTCAACTGTAAAGATAAAAGATGTTTGACCAGTACTTCTGAAAACTCCTTGTCTCTCAAGGCAATTATCTGAGTTGGGGTATCCCTGGTAAGCAAAGGGAAAGACCTATTTGTAATGCACTTTGTTATGGTTTCAAAAAGTTGGTTGGTGGTGGTTGGTTTTGTTTTTTTTTTTTAAATGACTACTGAGGGAGATACGAAAAAACAGAGCACTAAGCACAGTAAAATACAGAAGCCAGCAAATCATGACAAATTTCAAGTCTGTACTTAATTGTGAGAAACAATGCATAACCCTGGCATCTACCAGAATACACAGGTTACTTCTTTACAGTAATAGAGCATTCTTGAAGCTCTGCTACTGTATTTCTCTACTTAAGCTACATACAGGAATTTCATTTATACCTACTTTCATATCTCACAAAACAGAACTGAAACAGCCCTTTCCCTACAGTTCTGCCAGAAATCTCGGAGGATTAGAATCAGAATTTTCTAAAAGCTGAGCCCTTGGGCTCAAAGCCCTCAAAAGCCTTTCCCTTCAAATTCAATAAAGCTTTCACTGAACAAAACTCAACTAAAGTGAAATAGTACATAGAGTACAAAGTCATCAGGCAACAGGAACTAAGCTAACTCACAGCAGTAACTGTATCTTTATTACTACTGTGAACACTGAGACCAGTCAATATTAAAGAATGTATTTCTACATTTTGGGGTTTCTGTCAGGAAGATACGATTGTACTGTATATCTGAAGGAGCCAGTACATCCTAAACCATTTCCACTCTCTGTCAACAGCCTCACTAAAAATACTCAACATAAAAGGCATTTAAATCTTCTATCAACTCAGTGAGCATACCCTGGATAGAATAAAAGATGTAACTATACACCACATTTATAAGCAAATACTGACATAACCTTATCTACCTACTTACTCTGGCAAAATTTAAGTTGTAATCTGAACCACAATAAAAATTATTATTAACAGTAAATGTGAATGTGAAGAATTCTATGCTTTAGAAGACGGCTTTGTAGGAAACAGGGAAAAAAAACATCCTGCATCATCAGTGCAACTTAGGATGTGAAAATAAATATGCATCCATCACTCCAATGGCCGGTGAACGCTTCAGAAGCACTTGTATAAGAAAACATCGAAATGCTAGTAAATAAATTAGTCTTCTCTATTGTCTCAAATAAGGAAAACCCTCTAATAAACAAGAGTCATGTCTAATAAACAGTAGATTAGTACAGCTGAACTGGTGATGATAAAGACAAGATGAACAAGACAAACGGCCAACTAAGAACAACATAATACTGTGGAAATACACCGAGTGCACAAACACTGCTTCTCTAAATTTTCCAAACTCTGTGACATATACTGCTTAACAGACAGCAGCTGCAGATCAAGTAAAAGCTTAAGATGGAGTTGTTTTGTAGTAAAATTCAAAGTGACAGAAAACAAATGCTTAAAAACAAAAGGACACATCAACTAATTATACTGGCACATCTGCAAATTTTAACATGCAGTTAAAATAAGCAGACATAGTCAAAAGACGCTGTCTGCAAATTCCAAGATTAATTTGGTAAACTTTATTCTAAAACATACATGTGACTGAAAAGAGAAAAAATACTGTTGCACAACATATACCTACAGTGAACTCCTTTGGAATTACTAATGTATTAGGCTTTTACTAACGTATTAGGCTTTTAAAAGTTGCTATGAAAAAGATAGTAATACCACTATCACAGATGCAGAATCCACCTCCATAATCCCTCTTTCTAAATAAAAATTTGCTCACTGGAAAAAAAAGATTCAGTATAGTTCCCCTAGTTAATCAGCAAATGACTGCAAAAAAGCCTTAATTCCTTTTCCTTTTTCAATTGCTAAAAAAAAAAAAAAAAAAATTAAAAAATTTAATAATTACGCTCTCATAAATATTTCACTGCAGTATTTCACAGGCCTTCCCTGCTTATCTTTATGTATTTGATAATTAAGTACTTCTGAAACTACTAGAAGTACTAATAGACTCAAAGTATTCACAAAAGAGCTTGATATGAACTTATTTTCTTGGTGGTGTTTTTGCCCTTTTCAAAATAAAAATACCCTCAAAATGCCAACATCAACATTTACAAGCATCAACATTTCACAATTCTCCAAAGGACATCAGGCTGACATGGAACATTCTATACTTTTCCAGTCTCTACCTCAAGTCTTGAGAACAGGATAAAGAAAACAGTAAAGACTACCAGAAGCTGTTTCATTATCTTTCTCACTATATAGCATTAATACACATTTTTTAATCTAAGACATGTATGAGCTTCACCTTCTGAAAAACAGCTGTATATTCGAAATGAAGGCTATTCACTCTTCAAATAATTATAGTACATACAGTTCTATTCCATTGCATACTTCTGTGCAAATATAAATTTTAGCACAAATATACCATAATTATGACATGAACCATCACACTGTCAGATGACCCAAAAAAGAACAATTCACACAGGAATTTATATTGCTGCTGCATAAAAAGACTGCCATGTATTTCTGGCATTGCATAATACCTCCATTGCTGTTTATTTTGACAAAGTATAGTTGCTTTGAGTCCCATAAACTGCCTAATAAAGAACACTCGAATGTCCTTAGTTTCAGTTGACACTGCCAAAAGACATGTCCTTTCTAGTTTTAATACTCACCTTCAACAGTAGACAATTTGTGATCTTCTCAAGCAGTTCAAAAGCAGAAAAACTATTTACAACTTTATCATCTCAAAAAACTTTGAGTTGTCTCATAATTTCTTCTTTGGCATTAGATGAACGTACAGAAAGAATTAAAGGAAAAAGAAAAACCCTGAGAAACTTTCCTACTTATTCACAAAGCTGTATTACTTTTCTGTAATTAAGAAGAAGATTGAGAACATCAGAATGAAGTTCTGCTCTGCTTCTGGCTGCCATCAAAATAATAAATACCCAACTCTGAAGACTGACAAGAACGGGACTCAGAATAAGCACTTTAGAGCACTTGCAAGAATCGGTCAGAAAGTGCCAAATATACTAAGTAAATATCCCCTGTTGATTAGAACATACTGACAAACACACATACTGTAAGCTAAACTGAAATGTTTACTGAAGAAAGTAACTTTCTGAACCAACTGAATCATTCCAAGTATGACACTCTTGCTGCCAGAAATAAATAACTCAACAAAAAGCTAAACTGAGCCATTAAGTTTGCTGTTGTTCAGTAATACATTTGGGGGGGGGGGGGGGGGTGGTTGTCCACAAACTCTGTGACTTTTTTAAAGCAATAGTTTCTTTTACATCAACCTTCAGAACCGACCATCAACCTTTAGTATTTTAGAGGCCACAACATAAACATCCTTCCAAAAGTTGGATCTGCTGGTGTCTAGCTGACAAGCCATTTGGTTACTTGCGAGATCTCGGTCCAGGAACATTACAGCTTTCAGGTTCTCTTTGTGTTTATTACAAGTGTAATTTATAGATAGTACACGCTCTACAGACAAAGAACTGTAAGTTTGTTTGGAATTTACTCAAGCAAAAAAGATTATTCCACAATAAAATGCCACACCACTCTTCAGTGGATAAGGAATCATGGATTACAGGCAACAACATGACCAGAAAGCTTATTTAAAGGATGAAGACATAAAAAGAAACCTATTTTAAATTCATCAAAGAAAATATGAAATACTATTAAAGTAGTATCATCTGGCAATACAAGGATGAAGATGCGACTGTTGCATCTTTAGGACAATCTCTGCCAGAAATATGAGTGGAATTTATCTGTTTAATATCCAAGTAATACTTTGTTTTACTGTTAACATTCTGTTCCATAGCCTGCATATTAAACAACCCACTCAAAAATCTGAGAAGCTGAAGAGAGCATAAGAACAACTGGAGAAAGTGCAGGCCATCAGGGATGAGAAACCAATGGAACCTGAGATAAGTTTCCATCACATTATTTACACTACATATAAACCACAATTATTCCAAATGATGCATGCATGAAAATGACAAATACACAGTCTTAAACAAAACAAAGAAAACCTAAATATCTACGCTTAACAGGGTATTTCATAGCCTCTTCATTTCAAACCTAAGGGCCTTAGGTAGCACACAGTGACCAATATCCCCAATACATCTGGAAGTTCCTAGCAAGCAAATTTTTGTACCTATTAAGTCATACCAGTTTAGGTTAGGGTTTTTTTAAGCTAACAGTCAGAATTAGGAAATAGTTCAAGGGTATTTAGAGTTTAAACCGGAAAGAATTGACATGTTTTAATCATCAAATCCAGCCTTCCAAGAAAACACAGTTATACACACTTTAACAACAACAAATCCAGAAGAAACAACAACCAACACAAATTATGCTCTGCCTGTTCCGCCTAATATATCAGATTGCTTTCAACCTTTCCAGACCCCTGGCATGTGCTAATGGGAAAGAGAAAAATCAGCCTAGACTGGGTAAAGAAAAATATTTTGCTTTTCACCTAGTGAAATTAATTTCCATTAAGTATCAAGCAGCCTCAATTTTCTAACCTGGAAACATATAACTTATTTCAAGCATTAAGAGAATCAGTTCTATGAAGTAAGTTTATTTTTTGTTTTCAAAAACCCCAACAACTTAAAAGGGGATGTAAGAAAATACTTAAAGTCATGGTAAAATACAGTTAAGTCAAACTCTTGCATTTCAGAGCATTGAAAGGTTTTTCATGCTCAAAGTAGTTGTTTTTCCAACTAGAGCTAACTACCCCCTAGAGTAAGAATACACTGTAGCTTATAATATAATTAATGTATCAACCTCCTTTCCTATTTCTCCTTA